ATCTCGACGTTAAGTTTGGTAATGAGGCTCATCATTGCATCTCTATAACTTTTTTAATGCCCACATAATACGTAGATAAATGGATAAACTGAGCTGACACAGTAGGACCCATTTAACCTTTGTTAAAGATTCTAGAAGCAACATGTTGTAAACAGTTGGTGAACTTCATGTAACTATATGTTTTTCTCAGACTTATTTTCAATTTTCTCACTCCTCTCTCTTTGTTTTCTGGTTCTGACTGGGAGGAAGTGTCAAAATACTGAAAAATAGGCTATTTGTACAGCGTTTTTGAGCCAACTGGAAGGAGGAAGCACCTGAACTCTCAGGAGAACTTACTCTTGTGAGTTTAGCAGTGCACGCTTGAGAGGTCCCAATAATTAATGCAGTGCATATTGCAGGGATGGGAGTTATGTCCATTCTGAGACTTGTATATCCTTAGCTGTAACAATTCTGGCTACTTAAATATTGTTGCTCTCATTATTTGAATTTTTGAAGAGTTTCATTCATGTTCTCTCTAGAATAAAAAAAGTTTCTAGATTTCTTTTACAGATACAGTACTGTTAAATGTAGGTACAAAGCAAGGAGTGTTCTGAAGTAAGAATGGGTTTTAGGTTGGAGTTAAGGCTTCCTATTGGTAAATACATCTCTGGGACTAGAGGATATCTTTGTGCAGTAGCGTTTATACTGTACCAGATGAAACATTTAAAAGTTGGATGTTAATAAAGCAGCCCCCAAAGTAGCTAATGGACATTCTGGCCCTGACCACAATAGTAGCTGCCATAGCTGCCATGCCATAGAGGCTGTACTGTTTCCTTGCCTGTTCTCTATCTCAATTTGGCAGTTTAAAAAAGTGTTGTAGAATAAATTCTCCTGGGACTTCTACACGATTGCTGAAAAACCTAAACTGCATTTAGTTTGTTTATAAAAAGTCCTGGAGCCCTGTTCTGTAGAGCAAGGGTCATGGAAACACATGTTTATGGCTTCACAAATACTCTACACTCCTTGAACGGAGAAGTTTATTTGATTTAATCAGCATCCACAGGGATCATGTAATTGCATAATAAGTAATTTATTATGGAAGTAGAAGTATTTTTCTAACTGTAGCCTATGTAGCTTGGGTTTGTAGCTTTACACTAATCCACGTAGTAAAAAGAGCTTTGCAAAACAGTCTGACTGAAGTAATGGTGTTCTGTGATGAGTGTGTACTTGCATGGCTGTTTAATCACCAGAAAGTGTTAAAACAACAGGGACATTATCACCATGTTGGATGCAAAAACTGTTCAATGTTTGCCTGCCTTCAGCAATTTGAAGTGCACAATGTGCGAAACTGGAAAGCCATCCCAGATAATCCAGTTAGTGGGCAGTGAATATGAGAGTGGGGGAATCTAAAGTTTGTCTTTTGCAACATGGCCTTTCAGCTACTTCAGGAATGGAACATGGCCTTTCAGCTACTTGACTTCACCTTGGATACTGAATTACAAACAGAGATGTTTGTATACAAAAAAATATCAAACCTAAGTTGTTTAGCTGTCACAGTCTTTTCACTGAAATAGTCATCGACTGGATCATGAATGACACGGCTGGGAGGTAGACAGAATAAGGCTAAGGACTGAGGTATCATCCTTGAAAGCTCTTGCAGATAGGGAAGGGAGAGATAGGGAAGAGAGAGATGCGGGAGCAGGGAGCATGCTGGTGCAAAGTCCTGGTCTCTGAAACTAGGCAGTCCTTGTGCAGCCTTATCATTAATAATTCAGGCTGTGCTGAAAAGTCACAAAACAGTATGCAACTGTTCTGGGAAAGCTTCCTGGACTGCACATTGTGGTTGCTGTTGATGATGAGGTTTTCCCATTTGCTAGCTTGTCTTCAACTGAGGAGAGCAGTTGAAGAACTCCAACTCCAGACAGAGATTTGTAGTTTTAGAAGGAAAACGGGAAATCAGTTTGGTATTTGCTGAGGTTCAGAATGCTAAAGTTTTCTTTCCAACAGCCGATGATCTCAGTAACATCAGAAGTAGGTTGCTCTGCATTTCCTGTGAGTGTTTGTGAGGTCCTAACTTTTCTGTTGAAAATGAAATGAAATTCATATTTTCATATCTAAATAAAAGTGGAAATACAAGGAAAGTTAACTTCTTTGCTAACTCATCAACCTGCAAGATTTTAGCTAGGCTTGAAGTGTGTAAGCCTCAGTCCATGGAAATTTTGGACCATCATCTCCTTCTCAGCTGTATCTTGGTCCAGTGAAATATTCTCTTTCCTAGTGCTTCTCCCTGGGCATGCTGTCCTGCATGTGAGTACTAGAGCATTAATGCTGAACTCTTCAGACAAAATGTAGCCTAAAGGTCCTTCAGATCAATGAAGCAAGAGTGATTAGCCTGGTCCAGTTAAAAAAATATGGTCCTAGTTATTATGATAGGAAAATCCAAAGACCCATTTGCAGGAGATCTGGATCTTTCTTTTGAGGAAAAGTGTGAAATTAGGTGTTTGGCACCTGAGGTGAGGGAGGCAGGTAAGGGGAAGACACAGAAAAGGATATCACGTCCCACCTTTCATTGGGCTGTTTTCTTACTTCTGTGTCCTCTTTTTTATTTTGTTGTTTGAAGGTAAAGTGTATTTTTCTCCAATTTATACTTAAAAATACTTTCATTTTGATCATTTTTCCCTCAAGAACATTTTCTGCTGCTGCATGGATAACGTTTTATTTTTTTGTGACTCTTCAGACTTTCATTTCCTGTTCCTGCATATGTATAATTAAGTGCTGTCTCAGCAATTTAGAGGGGTATTCATAGAGAGATGAGTCCTGACAGTGTCCCATGGAATAACTTCTTTATTTCAAAATTATTTCTATACATTTTTTTTGTAATTCCTCATTTTAATGCATATTGTCTTCAGCAAATTGAAAGCACTAGCTGAAGAAACAAGGGTCTCCTTCACACACACCCCTGTATAGTACGCGTGCCATTTCATAAGCTTTAAACGTCCATCAGCCTCACTCATTCTCTTTTGTTTGGGATATGAACACTATCAAAGGTTTTACTATTCGCTGGTACTGTCGCTCAAGGCACAGAGCACTACAGCCAGTCCAGGAGGAGCAGGATTGGGCCCAAAAGGACTAGATGAGGAGCAGGTTCATCTAGTAATTACAGCACAGGCAGAAGTGATCATAACTTTTGCTTTGTATGGCTTTCACGCTGAAACAGCTGAGGCAGAAGTTAGAGCGTAACGTGTCATTCAGCCTACTGTCTGCATTATTTCTGAATATTTAAGTAGCTCCTGTTTAGGTAGGAGCTCAGATGTGAACAGCAGTGATGAACAGACAGAATGCCTCTTTGTGCTGCATGGCCCAAAATGTGATGACTGCGTGTTTGGACTGCCGTCTTCTCTCTGTTATTTTGCATGAAGATCTGATAGTCCGTATGTTGAGAGCTCTCTAAGTGAATGGTGACAACAGCAAAGCATTTGAAATATTGGCATACTCCATTTATAGTGGGTATAGCTAGTGAAATAGCCTGATAAGTCCAAGAGAAAGGTAGATTTCCCAGATCAGCCCTACTGTATTTAATATGTATTTCATTGTCGGTAAAATATATACTCTTGAGAATAAGCAGGCTTTTTCTGGGCATTCACAACATTGTTAATGCTCCAAAGTAAGACGAGAAAGTTGGCACCAAGCGTAGAGGTGAAATGAAGGAGCTCACAGGGATTTTTGTTCCCTTTGGGAATCCAGATAATGAAATGGTACTGAAGAATTTGGTTAAGTAGGCTGAGAGTTCAGCTGTTCCTACTGCAATCTTATCTGTCAGTGTGGAATTTTTTGCTGCCAAAGGTCACCAACAAATATAAAACTGCTATTCTGATGAAAAACACCAATAGTCTCTCTTTCTCACTTTCACACACGAAGATACTGCTTGGCCAGAAAGTTAGCTAATACAAATTCAGATTAGTGCCAAAGAAGCTATGCCTTATTACACCAAGTGAGAACCTGGCTCCAAACTATGATTTAAAAAAAAAAAAAAAAAAAATTTGCCCCTGCATGTCTGTGAATGACTAATTTTTCCATAAATTGTGTCTCTGGGTGGGCCTCATGCTAATCCTGCAGATTCTCACCGTGGGTTGATGATTTAGTCTGCATCACTCAATAGCTGCGTATGTCTTCTGGTCTCCAAGATACGATGGAGACTTGATGGTGAAGGCCACTGCCAAATCCTAACAAACTGCTCAAGTATGAGGGGCCTTTGCACGTTTCCTTCGTTTCCTTTTTTCCATTATATAGTTCTAAGCCACTGGTCTCATTTCCCCTGCTAAATTGTTGCAGATCACTCAAGCTTTCACTACTTCTCTCTTCCTCACTTTTTCTTCTTTTCTTTCACCATCAGCCAATCTCACCATTTCTCATTCTCTCCCTGAGCCTCTGCTTTGTGTATTTTTTCTCTCACAAACTTCAGTCACCAATGAGTTATCTGTCCATTTATTTCAGCCCTTGTTGCCCTGTCTCAGTTCACTCACACTCGCCCTATTCTAGGTTTTGCCTTTGAAGTCTGAGAAACGGTTTGTGGGGAAGGGTTTGAAAAGTGAGGTTTGTTGAGGAACATCAACCAGTAAGGCACTTGTTCTTAGTGGCTGGAGCTTATACCTGAAGCCATTGAGCCAAAGAGGAGTTTAACAGATAATGGAAAGCAAGATGGAAAGAATGCTGATCAAACCAAACCAAATTTCGTATGAAAATGAACAAGCAGCCTGTTGTGCACATGTAGGAGGACTGCAGTCTTTCTCAGAGGCAACCCTTAGCATCCTTTTTTCCTGAGACAGAGCTGAAGTGGGAACCATCTGTACAACACCAGCTTTAGTACACCTTTAGTGACTCTCTTGTTACTTGCACATAGTCAAAGATTATGAGAAGACTGCACTGTTAAATAATATCTGCATGGTTTTAAATTTTAAATTCCTTTGTGTCTCTCCCTCTCTCTTGTGCATTCTCCGTTTCTTTCCCCCCTCCTCCTTCAGGCTGTAAGAGAAAAGTTAGAGCCAGATGATGCTTTGATGTATGAAGAAGATCTGGATGATGAAGACTGTGGTGAAGCAGAATTTGAGGAAACCATGAAATTAAAACTGCTGCGTAGAATTGCCTCCCTAGCATCCAGACTGAGGGAGTTCATTGGACACATGATAATCACCACTGGAAAAGTTGTTGTTACAATTTTACTTGGTTC